AAGGTTTAGGGTTTAGGGCCTCCCCCCAACACTTTGGGTTTATTCCCCTCCCGTGCTAATATAGACCCCCGCCTCCCAATAACAAAGAATTCTCGTTGACATATACGAGTACAATGCTGTGCCGTTGTATTTTTCGATGGGGTGAGGGTGGGGTCTATACCAGTGCTGATGGTCAGCACTGGGGGAGGCTTCCGGTAAACTCCTATTCCTCTTCATTCATCTAGGTACAACGTATGAAACTTTCAAGAGCTATCATTTTGGGATAACGGCTTGCGGTCTATGAATGTTCTTGCGTGAGGATGCTTCCTATTCAGGATTTTGTAAAGGATATGATGAGAAACTCCCATGCCGCGCCAGTGAAGTTTCATGTTTAATAAGGTATTTAGTCAAGAGCTCTCTAGGCTCTGGCACAAGGGGTGGCCTCCATGAAGCAGTTTCAACTAGCATGGAAGCTCAAACAGGGCCTTACAAAGACTTCTGACCCTTGAAATGGGCACCATGTCAGCTTCCATGTTTGTTTCGTGGAGCCAAAGGCCACGTCCAAGATCCTTACGCAAACCCTAAACCCTAAACCCCGAAACTGTATGCCGGCAGGTGGAAGTTGACTCTGAACCCGCAAGACTTATTTAATCTCAGGGTTAAAGTAACATAGGGTTTAGGGGCCCTTACTGTCCTTCATCCAGGGGTCCCCTTATACCTTAGATGTAGCCTTCATGTAACTTGAGAGGGCCCTTGGAATCCCACAGTTGGGGCCAGGGACTTAGATGCAAACCGTGGACACAAGAGCCAATCCTAAAATCTCAGCCGCGGTTTAGCCCTGAACCCTAAACCCTTACCTGGACCTTGGACGTCTAGTGGACACAGCCCGCAAACATGTAGGACAGAACCCAAAACTGAAGGACTAGGTATGATTTTCGACTTTTGGGTCAGCATGGCTTAGGGCTCAGGGCCAGAAACCCTCAACCCTTCATCCCAAGAATCACGACATGAACGATGACTGCCAGGCAGCTATCAGAGCAAAAGAGAAGGAAGGGTCGCTGTAGCTGCAAAACGAATTTTCGACTTTTTTGAGCCTGTGCTTTGGGATAGATGGGGGTGGATAATAGAGAGATATACAGAAACACAAGGGAAATACAAGAGCCCACCTACGGACTCTAGAGAAACCATTGTCAGAAACTTCAGAGAAAGGATTTCTGTGAGCCTGTGACTTCAGGGTTGCGGGTGTAGAGCAGGTCAATTGGGTTCAGAGAGGGCTTCCAGAAATCTATGTTCTGGACCCCCCGACTAGCAACTTTTTTCGGGGAGTCCCTATAAAAAGGAGTGACCTAAGGAGCGTAGCAAATTATGGTTTAAATCAGCCAGCAGAACCCGGGGTTGTGATTGCTTTTGTGTCAAGGACGCCATATGCTGGGGGTTCTGGAGGTATGCAGAAACTACGTAAGCCTAAACCCTAAACCCTACGTAGGGTGTGAGAGATGGAGTCCTGATGTTTGAATAGGGTTTAGGGTTTCGGGTTGGTTCTGACTCTTGTGGATGTCCTAAGGGTAGCTGCTTTGAGTTCTTTACATGTCAGGTTGGTTTAGTTACTTTTGCCATTATTGCACACCCAATAGCAGGTGCTGTAGTAAACTTAGTACCCGCTCAAAGGGACCATGTGTTTGAGAACGACTCATAGACGTTTTCCAAAACCAGTTAGTTAAGCAACACCAGGATTGTGCCATTTGCAAGTAGCCCTTTTAGATGTCAACTGGAAGCAGGTCGCTGGCGTCCACAATCTGGCTAAATCAGAATCCTGACTCACCAAATTAACCCTACCTCACCTGTCTTTAAAGCCTGCAAGGCCCATTAAACCTAATCCTGTCAAAAGCCTTAACATGACGCCAGTTTCACGGTGCACGTCGCAACAGGAGTTTTATCATGGATTACAAGGGATCCTTACCAGGGATTTTATACGGGTAATTTAGAGAAAGTTTCATTGGATCTTTGGGCAGAACGCCGTGCTCCATTGAATTCTTCCCTGTGGTTGTGTATGGGTCCGCGGAATACACATTAAGGGTTTAGGCCTTCCAATACCTCCCGAATACCCATGACAACAGCCCATATGAGCCATTGTCTAAACTCCTAGTATCCCCCTTAATCACTCATTAAGGAGTTAAGACTATAGCCCGTGTACCCATTATTTTGGTGTCAAAGGCAATTATGGGGATTTGGGAGGTCTAGGTTCCAGAAGAGGGTAGTAGTTGTGCAAAGATTCATTTGAAACTTGCAACGCAGAACGAAATGCCAATGGGCAGAGCATCGGGATAAGGGTTTAGGTGTTTATGACTTGGCTTTTGTTGCTGGTTGATAGGGCGGGAACGACGGAAGGACGGCGAAATGACTACTAGACGATTGGGGATCATATAGGGGCTGCTGTATGGGTCCATCCCCCCATTCCTACTAACAAGCAGTATGTTTAGGGTCACTACTCCTCATTCCAATTCTTGATAAATTTGCGTCCTTTGGATTCACAGAAGTCACCATATTGGCGTGTTTCTGTACGGAGGTAGGATCTTGTAGCTGGAAGCTTGAATTTGGTACCCGGAAACGTGGCCTGAGAACTTCCCTCAGCCGTGTTTCCTGGAGGGTTGCTGGGGCAAACTCAGAGAATTGTTTAACCCGTGGTTGCGACATATCAATCCCACGCCATAATGTTGGGTCTTGCAATAGTGCTTCTGTTCTAACATTCCTCATGCACTTCCAGACTCTTAACATGAAGAGCAGGAATCTCATCTTAGTCTAGTGTCTCTGGAATCCAAGCCCCTAAGCCCTAAGCCGTATGTTGGCCGTTAGAACCTTGGGCATCTGAAGATGTGATGTACTGAGGCAGAAAGCCGCTCGGGAAAGGCCGCCCGGCCTTGCCACAATGGGTTGGCCTTAGGCGGTGTAGGGTTTAGGGTTTAGGGACTTGGCTTACAACCCTAAACCTGAATCAGGCTCTAGGCCTATGCAAAATGTATACTGTGGGCTTAAAAGTCTAGAAATGGTGCCAAACCAAGGCTTTGCACGTGGAGCCCCAGGGTTAAACAAGCCCCTTCCAACACAACATCGCACCATGAACGTCTAAGAGCACAGTTGGTCTTGTGGATTAGACTTGTGCAGGAGAGCTGGAAAGCATTTATCAGTCGGCCTTGGCGTTGAAGTTTATTGGGTAAGGCTTTGGGGGATTTGTGCGCAATGGCTCAAGAAACCTCCAGAAGGGTCGTGTCTGGGGTTCACTTGCTGCTGCAGTTGCACGTCATCAGCCTTGTGGGGTGTGATGCTGCCGTCCATAGGCCCACTTGGTACTTGTCGGATGTTTGCGCATGGTCTAGCGGAAGTTGGTAAACCTTGGCGAAGGCTAGGTTCACCTCCTCCCCCTTGTAACGGCATCTCTACACTGCACGGAGGAACTCAAAGGCACAATTTAGGTAGGTGGGTAGTGGCAAACATGTAGGCCGAAACTGCTGCCGGCGTCCGAGTTGTCAATTAGAATGAATGCGCTCCTTTGACTGTCTAGGGGTTCAGGATTTGTGCGTTTCAGGTTTGAACTGTCGGTCGCTAAGGGTGGTTCTGTCTAAGCCCCATATCTGTGCAGCTATCTTTGCAGCTACCCAACTTTTGTTGCCTGAGCCTTTAACATTATAGTCCCCCTTAAGTAGATAGAATATGGGGTCTATGGGGATCTTACTGATTCTGATATACCCAAAGACATGTTCTATCTACCTAAGGGGGACTAACCTTTTGCCCTTTAACCCTAAACCCTAAGGGCCCTAAAGCCCCCATGCAGGTACATCCAGGTCTTTCGAGACGTCCACGGTCCTTTGACCGGAGCCCTTGTCTGCGCCTTCAAAGGCTACTTGACAGCATGGGGCGTCGGATTTAGGGTTGAGGTTTTAGGGTTTAGGGGTTTTGGGGTTTTAGCAAAACAAGGTTTTGGGTTTCGTGGTCTTAGGTTTTGAGTTTAGGATTTTAGGGTTTAGGGTTGAAGATTCACCGGCAAAGCCACTGAGATGCCGTGAGCGCATCGTCTTGTGCGACATGCTGCTATGGCCTATAGTGGTGGCTGGCCATCCAACATAATACGCCATATATGGGTTCTATTGGGATTATATAGGTGTTAGTTATCTAGGGGTTATAGGGATTATGGACAAGAAAATGGCAACTACTTTGGTATAATAGGGTAACATCCACCCCACGTCATCTGAGGCAGCCGAATCAGCCCAGTCTATTCCTTTCAGGGGTCTACGACCTAAAGCCAATTAAGTCCATCTTGGACAACGACAAGCTTTGTCTGATCACCACATGTATCCCTATACAGAACTTGCCAACCTATGTTGCGGGTGCAAGGGACTGCAATTCTTCTAGGCTTCGTCGCTCATAGCCCAGCTACTACTGTTCTCCCCTCATTGCGCATGGGACCTGGAGCTTGAAAAGAAGCGAATTCAGCCAGACGTGCTGGGGAATGACCCTCATACAGCGGGTTCGGGATCTGGGGCGACGGCCCACATATCCTGACTGTCTTGGACCGCCCTTTATTAAGCTAAGCTAAAACTTCATCAGCTTTCCTCTCCAGTTTCATGCGCACTTGTGGGAGTGTATTTTCCTTTGGATGCATCAGAGCCACCACAACCATAGAAGCCTGAGTTAAAGGGATACTCGAGGTAAGATGACCGAGTAGATTCCGACTACAAGCCCAAATGGAAAATTGCCAGAAATCTTGTTCAAGTAATTTTTGGACCCTTTGCGGAAATCCCTGAGCCCCTGAAATGAGACCCACCCACATCCTTAGCTCCAAAGCAATCCTTAGCAACTGCACGACCTGGAGGCCAAGGCTGATTTTTGAATCTACTATGCCGTTTAAGGCAGCTAGAATACGGCGTATGTGGAATCTCATTATAATACACCTAGGGTCATACTCTTTCTACTAGAGGGGGACTATAAACCCATGATCACCCAAGTTTTGATGCCGCAGTCTTAGTTTGGACGGCTACGCATAATGCGCAACGTCAGGGTTTGAGGACCGTAGAGGCCAGGCCAGGCATCAGGTAGTTTTCCACAGTTGCCCAGCCTCTGAAATAGTAATAGTAACAGTAATAATAATCAGGGCTAGGGCTTAAGGTTTAGGATTTAGGGTTTAGGAGTAGTCTCTAGTGAAGTCGGGGTCCAGCTTCTGGTTGCAAGAGGTTTTAGGAGTACCTACACCCCAAAAGTATGTAGAATAATAGCCTTTTGGGCCATATTTAGGTGTTTTGGGCTATTATGTTACCTACTTTTGGGGTTTCGGTGGATCTCAGGGGTGCTGGGGAGTGCGCGAGGCTAAAAAGTCTTCATCTTTTTGGAATTCCACCGACCCTAATTACACACTCTAACCAGATAGGATGCTCTGAAAAAGAAGGTGGCCGTTACGAACACAGAGAGATATAGAGATTGTCAGGATGCGAGTCCTTATACGGGATCAATGCAGGGATCGCTTTGACAAACTCCCATCACTCCGTACGGCCAACCCTACATATGCGAGCACCAAGCATGCTTTGTCAGAATTGGTGTTACGGAACTTAAATCAAGCTACCATTGATTTGATTGGCAAGTCGAATCAAGCCTTGCAAATTTGCTATATCTGCATTGTAGTAATTTAGTGTAAGGTCCTTAACAGCAACCCGCACACGAGAGAGTCTAGCCTGGTGCTTCGTCAGGTCCTTGCTAGGCTCGTGGCAAACCTGGTTAGATCGTAGTGCCTTATTGGGCGACAGACCCTAAACACTAGATGTTCAGCTACAGGGCTCTGCAAACACCTTCCCAAGAATCTGAAGTTCTGAAACCCAGCCGTGAATGATACCAGAACCCCCTAAACCCTAAACCCTAAACCTCCAAATCCCTGTAGAACCCCATGATAGTAGTTTCCATTTCCTTTTCCATTTCCCTATTTAACCCCAATATATTATGGTAGTTTCCATTTTCTTTTCCATTATCCCTATTTAACCCCAATATATTATTATAGTTTCCTTTTTCTTTTCCATCATTACTACATTACGCAAACCTGCCACGCCAGAAACTTCAAAGCAAGCACAAATTCCACATGACAGCTCCCGACGCCAGTTTACAAACCCCCAGGTCCAGCTTCAGATGAGCCACAGTCTAAACTCCTTGAAGGGGGGTTATATAGGGAATTCTATGGGGGAGTATAGTGGGGGCTATGAAGGGGGATACTAGGAGTCTAGACTCTCACTCAGGGAGCAGGAGAGGGTAGCCCCAAACCCAATTCATGAACGACGACATCAGGCTGGCGAGGTGAGGCAAAGCATTTGAAGGCCTGTGATCAGTACGCGGCTTCCTATTACGATTCTTGCCTTCATATGGGTAGATGGCTCAAGTTTGTCTTGTCTAGAGTTTAGGGCATTGTTGGTAGCTTCTTTGAAATCATGGGTTCCCTCGCATGGTTGCGGGGGAACCTAGGGGTGGTAGTAAGGGGGAAGAAGGTACTCGGCGAACCATAAAGTCGCATGATACATGCTCCTGTATCTAGAGCCCTGCGCGGCCTGATACTTGTGCCCATCTGCACCCAGTAATTGAACATCAGCTCTCAGGAAGTAAGGTCGGGGGACGCGGTTTGAGCTTCGGTTCCGGAAATAGTCATGCTGAAGGAGTCTGGGATAGACTAAACTAGAAATCAGCAGGGCAACCTACGACATGCCTCAAGCAAACACTGCGCACATTACGCTGGGTTCTTCTGATTTCAGATACGGGGAGACAGCACATGGGTACGCTCCTGATCAACCAGGCCGACCGAAGCTGTTGTCCATAAGTGTTTTTTGATCAGAGACTTCCTTGCCGCCCTTGGATTGCCATGGAACCCGCATTGTTCTTGCTAACTGCTAAAAGAACAGTAAAAGCATTGCCTGTCCATGGTTGGAAACCTTGCAGGCGCTATGGAAGATGCTACACAAAGCACGCCCTGTCCCACCAAGATGCCGAAGCTCTTGGCAAGGCAGGCCTGAGCGTCAAGAGAACGGAAACTGTCTATCGCGGCGCTGCGCCGAAAACAACGTCGTCAAACAAAACTCTATCTCCGGAAAACGCGGAATGTTGTAAAGAGCTGCACTTTGTCTGTCGAGGCGACAAACGCTGCAAATGGAAGAGTTCCAAGCGCCAACCGCAAAGTTCGAAGCAATCTGAAGCAGAAAGAGTGCTGCAAATGCCATGAAATTCGCAAACACCCCCCCTACACATCCCTACCCCCACAACCTCCCCTTTCCCAAACGCGGCAAGCTTTCCAGGGCGAAAAATGGCATGCATGCCAAGACCTAGAAGCTTGAAAGCCCTAATCTCCCCAGAAAGAATTTGGGGGGTTTCCCAAAATTAGGGGTACTTTTTTGGGGGTCCCCATAATAAGGATTGTAGTATATTGGGGTCTATATTGGGGTCCCCCTATTCTGGGAAACTACCATTTGGTTGAGGGTCTTTAACCCGGGGTCCTGTCTCTGAAAGCCCCGGCTTTGAGCAGTAGGGCCATCCAAAAATTCTCAGGACACAGAGGGCCGATGCTGGAAACTTCTGAAGGATCTTGAGGCTGGGTTTTTGGCATGGCGTCTACGGCTTGAAGTACAACGCCCATAGTTGCGAACATATGTTTCTCCTATTCTCTCAAGTCTTATGGTTCTTGTTTCTTCTATTCGGCACCAGCCGTATTGTTTCCACCATGTGACAGGAAGTCCTCAAGCTGAAAAAAGGGCTCAGACTTCAAAGAAACCCAAATAATGCAGATGTGGCTAGAGTTAACAGGGGTTTTTTGAGCTTCAGGACAGGTCGGTAGGCTGTAAAGGCTGTCCGAGTATACGGTGTTTGTTGTTTGGTGTGTGTGGGTGTCTCAGGACTTCTGCACGCTTAACCTTCAGCTTGCTGGTGGTTAGCGGGGAAGGTGACATAAGAGACGTAAGGGACTAGTGTAGGGATCTGCTCCCCCACTTCCAATACGTCAAGCACTTCAGTATGTCATGTTTGACTTCAGCTTTTGGAATCCTATAGTCGTGACACAGTGTAGAAGAAGCTTCATTCGAGGATCCTACCACCCAGTTCCGCCGAAGAAAGTCTCTTGCATGTCCTTGTCGTACAAGATTTGAATTTAGTCGTGACATTTCAGGTAGATGCTGAAATGCAGGGGTAGCTCCGACTTCGGATTTGGATGAAAAGCATTCATCGAGTTTCTCCTGGGCCTCAGAACTATACAGTGCACATGTGTGCACGTATGTCTGTTTGGGGAAGTGGGTTTAGGGTTGAGGGCTCAGGCATTCGGTCACTTTGGGCTGGAGATCTGGACCTTTAGAATCCCAGCCGCTAATTTTAAAGACCCCTTGACAAGTTGCTCTTGCAGCTCGCGCATCTACTGGACGGAATCCTGCATGCCCCCATATGCTTCAACCCTAATGAGTACGGTACGAACATGAACATAGGAGTCATGGAGGCTTCGTCCACATGAGTTAGAGGTTCCTTTCTAGGAGGTCCTATAGCAAGGTTCAAAAAAGATACCGCATCTTAGGGCCGTATACTGCCCTCCTATTCATGGAATCTGCCAAACCTTGAACCCTACACTCTGACCTCCCAGGTACTGAGCAACTTGCCCCGCAGAGGGCTCAGAAACAAACAAGTCAACGCTTTGTTAACACTTTTAGTAATAGTAACAGTAGGCCCGTAACAGTACTAGTAACAGTAATACTAATAGTGATAGTAACAATAGTAAGAATAGTAATATTATTAGTACTGTAGCAGGCACACTTTGGCAAGCTGCTGGAGGAGGGTAAGGAGGCAGCCAGCGAGTGGTTGAGCCAGATCGGCATTGGGGCTTTCGGTCGGGCCAGCCCCAAACCCTGATTTAGCAGTTCAGGGGAATTCTAATCCAGGTGCAATTGATACGCATACATCGATTATATCCATATTCGGAGACTTACGGAGCTTTTAATTACAGTCCTAGCTGGGTTATACTTGCCTCGAAAAGCCAAGACTTAGTAGCCCTTTACCTAAACAGCCTGAATGAGTTGCGTGTTGTGCCTGTTCCAGCGAATGTGAGGGTAAGTCTGTGTCACCCGGGAATTTTGGGATGTTGCCGCGGCAGCACTGCAGAAAGACTTTACAACGATCATACAACTATATAGATAATAGGGCCTGAAGTTGCACAAATGTGAAGCTAGGTGCTGAAGATAGTTCAGGGTCTAGGGTTTAGGTATAGAACCCAGATCCCGGATCCTGCATTCCAGACGGCAGACATTAGAAGCAAGATGCAGGGCAAATACTTTTGGGGACATGTTCAGATTGCTGGAGGGCGGCTCAGAAATCAGCTTGTCGATCAACACTTTGTATAATCCTGAAGAACTACGGAATGCGGCTTCTGTTATGATCCTTTTTTGTGCCCTGTAATCCTTGGCAAAGGGCTCCTTATTTGCCATAAAGCTTCTTCATAATTAATGTACAATTCTCGAGAAGAGCTCCAGGTGGATGAGTACTGGGTCAGACGTGGGGGTATATTAGGTCTATGTAGACTCCTATAAGGGTACTAGGTCCATGCATTGACACCCCGCAAGAAAGCACAAAAAATGCAGGTGAGCCTCGGCTTACATGGAAGTTCTTCAAAATAATCCCTATGCAGGAACCTTGAGGCAGTCCACCGATTTTCTTCTACTCCCCATATGTCATTGGGTCCGCCGGGGTCACTCTTACCGACACCGCCACTAAGCCTGCACCTGAAGTACTGAATTCTAGACTCTAGACCTTAAACATCTGTGTATACACACCCTAGCTCGCCCTAACCTCCAAGCCCTTACTGCTACTAAACTCTATACATCCTCATGTAGCCCCTTGAAGGGGCCCAAGCTTCTTGCCAGAACGATCTGCCGGACATTGCCGCGGCAAAGGAGGCAATCGCAACGGATGAGCAACCGGCCTTGTTTCAAACGGGTCTGGATTTAGGGTTTAGATTCTAGATGTAGGGTCTGGATTTAGGCTTTAGGCTTTTGGGGCTTAGTGTTCAGGACTTGATGCGAAGTTGTTCAGGCATCACAGTTTTGGGTGAAGGTTCTGCGAGGCTGATGGGCACTTGGAGCTTCATGAGCAAGGGGTTGAGGGGTTTCCGGTTCATAGGTTCGCGATTCAAGTCAGGGCACTTCGCTAGTCATGTTGTTTTGATATGTTTTGTTTATCACAGTGTGCTGTGTTCTTAAAGTTGGAGGTGTTGCTGCCCAGAACTGTACACATTGTGCTGGAGGTACTTGCTTCATGGCTAGCAAGGGTGACTGTCCCCGATCCCTATAGTAGTCTTGCTAGAACCTCACTATGATGTGCTAGCTTCCATTCTCGTTTCCATTCCTTTACCCTAAACCCTAAACCCGATAATAGTTTGTCCGTCTTCTTGTTCACGCCTTCATTCCCTACGAACAACGGGGAGGATTTTGAACAGTAGGATCAGCACCGGGACGCAGGAACGATTGTGAGAGACACCTCGCAGGGCTTGGGGTTTAGGCATGTTGAGGTTTCGGGTCTGGGAGTGTCAGGGTTTAGGGTGGTTATTTTTCTGTTTAAGGTGTTGTTGGGTTGAGGATTTTTTTGGGGGGTTGGAGACAAGGAAGCGGATGCCTTAATCCCAGCACCCAGAGCTCGAAGCTGCGAATCAAAAGACCAGGGCATGAGTATGGTATAAGGTTTAATGTAGACCCATGATTAGTAAACCCATATATTTAGGGGTTATATAGGGAACATGCAAAAGAAAATGGAAACAACTATTTAGGGCCTAGTGTTTTTAATGTAGGCCCATGATTAATAAACCCCCCACCTTTTGTAAGGGCTTCAATATCAGGATTCCTATTATGATCCCTATAAAGGGGAGGGGGTTTGCTAATCAGGGGTCTGGGCTAGGTTTTAGGATGCAGCCCTTGATATTGCAGGAGGGTTACCAATACGGAGTTCAGGATTTACGGACCAGAGGCCTTACCTTTTTGTCTACTCAGGAGATCTCTGGAGCTCGTACGTAGGTTCCTTGGGAAGAGTCTTGAGAGTAGATTCCCCCTTAAGTAGATAGAATATGGGGTATGTGGGGATCTCAGTATAATATAGCCAGAGCCATATTCGATCTACTCAAGGGGGACTATAGACATGCCGTCTTTTTGTGGGTACCATGGCGAAACCCCTACTACTTATGGCTGGTTCTCATCGAGGCCTGCCTTTCCGGCTGCCTAGTAGAAGGATCCTCATGCTTTGTGGTAAAGGTAAACCTTGGCTGTTGCGTAGTAGGCCAGAACCTGCTGACACATAGCCCACTGCACCTCACTCCGGTGTAGCTACAATGCACACGGAGCCAGTTTCGGCGGCTTGGGTAGGGTTCAGGGCTGGAACAATCGGAAATCCTAACCCCTGGCCCACGCCTAAACCTTAGAGGATGAAAGGCGCTAAGCGTAGCAAGTCATGAGCTGCCAAACCCCAAGCCTTGGACCAGACCGTCAGCGCAGCTCAGGAACGGCCGCGTGATCAACATCGCCAGGCTCGGCAACTCGCGTTCAAAGGTTTAGCATTCAGGGTTTAGGGATGAGGGATTAAGTTTAGCCCGACCACGAAGCATAGAGTTTGGGAGTATCACTGTACTTATTTCAGGGGATGTTCCAGGTTTGGGTGCCCCTTACTCCCTGGCACAATCAACCAGAATCGCGACCAAGCGCAGCGTGCGCACATGTGTCAGGCAGGTCGATGGCCCGAAAGAGACGTCATTTGACTACCTGCAAAACAGTTAGCGTGAGGTAAAGCAGCGCCACAGGTCACACAGCTGAGCTATAGTCTAAACTACTAGTATCCCCCTCAAAAACCCCTCTTATACTCCCCTATATAATTTCTAGATAACCCCGTTAAGGAGTATAGACTACAGCCCACAGAATCTGATGCTTAAACCTAACCCCTGAACTCTAAACTCCTATGGTTTTGTTGAGCACTGCATCGGCATCCACGTTGAATCAGCCGGAATGTTTGGTAGCCCAACTCAGAACAGTAGAACCTTATGCCTCTGACTGCCATGGTGCCCTCATGTTTGGGCATTGGGTCTACCATGTAGTCCTTGTACATGATAAAGTAGAAAGTGGATCCTTTTTCGCAGGATCTCAAAAATCAGCCGCTACATTTTTGACACTCTTCGTGGCAGATCTACTTTCCAGATTCTTTTTGGAGGACTGGATCGAGACAGTACCTAAAGCTTCATCAGGCCCAATCGATGAATCCGGGACCCTACTCCCATGGCAGGCACATATCGGCAAGGTTCAGACGCCCCCCTTCAAACCGGTAGTCGTACCAGGAGTAGGTAGAGTAATAATCCTAAAAATCGTGTGAGTAGTGCTACGGGTGAAAAAAGCTGTGGTGACGATGACAAGAGGTAAATCCAGGAACCTTAGTCCCCAAACCCCAAACCCCAAATCCTAAACACTAAACGCTGCAACCTACATCCAATTAATGTAGGAGCCGAAATACATGTCGATCTTGGTACGTGTTTCAGCTTCTTTCTACATCTCAGTAAGCCTTTTAATTTAAAGTTCCGCTATATGTACCCAGATGCTCTTTCATGTCATCCCCTCTTTCCCATTTGATTCATCCATCTTCATCCTACATCCTAAATCCTGTGTGCCCCTTTAAAGACCCCCTCGACACTAAATGCTACAGTGGCAGAGGACACAAAACAAAGTCGAAGACTGGACGCAGAGTCAGGCTCGCGATCCGAACAAGCCAGTCGTGCCGCTGTGCGTGAGATTGATTTGTATATTGGGGTTTCCACCATGAGGGGTACCATTTTGGGGTCCCTGGAGTATGGATTATCGTATTGGGGTTCCCTTATTTAGGGAAACTACCAAATGGTGGCCTTGTATAGGGTTTGGGGTTTCGAGTTTAGGGTTTGGGGTGTTGAGCTCCGGGTGCAGGATTCAGGTTCTCAGTGGAGGGCTCGTTGATATTTCGATCCGGACGCGCTTCAGATGTGCTGTTTTGCGGGTACTGCGAAGAACGCTTCAACGAAGTGGCTGCGCTGTGGAAATATGACGAAGAATATGGCGTCCTGATACTCAGAATCTAATTTCAGCTCGTTTAATCCCTTTCATGCCCCTGTATATAACCCCAGTTACCCTGTTTTTGTCCGTCCAATTTTCCTTCTGGTTCTCCCTTATCGTAACCTAAAAAGCGCTGATAGACTTCACATTATATTGCTTATCAGCGCCCCCAGAGCTGTACTTGCCAAGAGCCTCCAAACTTGGGGCAGCCCAGGGAGGTGGGGGACCTCGAAGGCTTAAGCTGGGGTTCAAGGTGGGGCTGAAGGTTATATTGGGATAATGCAAAAGAAAATGGAAACTATAGGATTAAGGGCTATGTAGGGGCTTTGTATGGGTTATATGGGGGCTATGTGGGGGTCATCTAGGGATAATGACCTTAACTTGGCCCTTTTTACCTGTTCTTGAACATGTGTTGTATCTTGTAGCGCGTCGAATTTAAACCCTAGTAAGGAATGTAGGTAAGGAGATACTTTCAAGGAGTATTCTCATAATGAACCAGATGCGCGCCGTCTCCAATTTTCTCCGAAAGTTCGAGACGATACGAGGTCCGGGAAAATCATGTTTGGCTTGTATTGCTAGCCTTGACTGTCGCAGTCATGATGAAGGGTTGGGTTTACCCAAGGCTTCAAAACTCAGACCGTACTAGAACCATATGATAGCTATAGGATCCTAATTTTCATGGTGGGGACTGCACAAATCCTCTTGGGAGGGAGTATGATATGTAGGGGCATCATTAGGGCGGGGGTTAGAGGTAGCTAATATTGGAGAACTGGGTATATAGGGATTATGAATTACCGATATGTTGCTAGTCATGTAGGCTTCTACATTAGATGCAATATACATCTCTGTATCATCTCGGCTTTTGTTAGTTTGTTCTTTCCCATTTGAGTCTTCATAATTGTAGAGCATTCAGGCTTATACCGCGAGCCCTTAATACTAAACCCTGAGCTCTAAACAGTACTGAACTTTCCAGTTATTGATACGCAATGATAGTAGTAGAACTCCTTAAGTAACCCTAAAAACAAGTAACCCTAAACCCCTAAACCC